CAAAATAATAACTAGTCACACAAATATAATCTTGTTTAGCTCTACCACTCCAAATATTTTTTTAATTCTAATTTCATTTTTTAACAATTTTATGAAATCATTTCTAGTTTAGTTTTAGAATAACTTTTAAATCCTAGAAAAAAGATTTTGAACAAATCTTTCAAAATATTTATCTTCGCCATATTAATAGGTTGATCAGTTGCAATCATATATAAGCTAACTGTCCCTATATACATCAGAATTATAACACCAATTAGTACCCATATTAGTTATTTGAGTTTGATTGTTTTCTCTATTTCCATGTTGATTAATATGTTTATTAGCATGCCTTTTTAAAGTACTAGTACCATTACCTGAATCAGCTTTATAAATATTTCCACAGTATTTGCATCTCGCTTTCTTGACTGAACGTCATTTTTTGTCTCGTAAAACTTGTCGAAATGCGCCCAAACGTCTAATGTGTGTCTGTCTTCGCTTTCGACGGCAGTTGATGATCCCGCCTCAGCTTGAGATGAAGTTGGACGAGCACAACGATTACGAGGACGACTTCTAGAACCACCGGGAGCTGTTGGAATCGGGGCATATTTTGAGGTGTATCGGATTCTGAGAATGAAAAGCGAGACTATTTGAATCTCCTCCTGCAATTATGTTAGTAAAATCACGAGACAGGACTAGGATAGTAGTTTCCGTCATCATTGTAATTGATGGGAGAGAAATATCTATCCATTGTAGTTGAAAAAAAAAATTGATGTAGAAGAAATAAAAATTAAAGAAAGAGAATTAGAATATTGAAATTGGAATTTGGAAAATTGGAAATATGAATTAAAAATTGCAAAAACTAATAAAAATTAAAATATGAGCAAATTGATAACAAAGAGATTAAGAGAATAAATGAATAATTGAGAGATTAGAGATTAGAGAATATGAGAGAATGAGAGAATTTGAGTTGTGAGAAAAATGTGAGAGTTTAGGGACAATTTATAAGAAAAAATAGGAAAAAAATGATGAAAAAGACCCCTTTAACGGCTATATTTCAACGGTAAAGGGGTAATTTGAAAAATAAAATAAATTTTTTTTTTTTTGGCCAATCCGCTGGATTGGCTGTTGCAACTCGACGGGTTGGTGGGTCTCTTGCCAAAGAGACAAAACAGCAACCCGCCGAGTTGCGGGTTGTCATTGTGCAATCCGGCCCGCCCAGGGGTTGTTGCTGGGTTTAACCCGCATTTTTACAGGTCGGGTTAGGGTTGACCCGCCTAACCCGACCCAAATGTTCCACCTCTAAATAGACCCAATGGGTTTACCAGTTACCCCATAACAAAAATTTTCTCTAATTATTCATGAAAAGAGGATAAAAAAAAAAGGTTGATTATATTGATAATTACGAAAGGGAAAAAAATAAGTTAAAACATAAAAGTGGAGAGGATGCTACTATAATAGGCTTTGAGATAAGAACATAATCTGGAATATGATTTATTGATCTGATACAATAGATCTTATCATTAGAACGAAAATTGCCCAAAACAATAAATTTGGTCATTGAAAAAAAGAATGATAAAAACAATAGACTTAATCATTGAAATGAAAGAAAAATGTTGGATACGATAGATTTTAATGAATACAAAGTGAAAGACAAAAACAAGTTTTTTTTTTTTTTATTTATTTAATACAAAAATGAGATTTTTGCTTCCACCCTTTAACTAAGTACCATTTATTATTATATTTTATTACAAATTTACTCTTTAATCTTCAAGGCAATTTATCTTCAAAGGCATGTTACATTATATATGTTTGGTTAAATTGATTGGTATAAATAATTAATATGTTTAGTTGGGAGAATAAAAAAATTATGGGAGAGTCATTTACTGAATTGCCTTCTTTTTAAATATTATTATTTAGATTATTGTTTTTAACCCCCTACATTTGAGAATTTAGCTAAAACACTATAATAATAATAAAAGTTTAAAATTTAACAAAATACCCCTAGCCACCCAAGACGATTGTCAGTTGTCACCGGCAGTCATCGGAACAACGCATGACCAGTAAGATCTGGTTGGTTGTGCACCGTTCTGGGGATTGCCAGTGATGGTCGACAATCGGCTTGGGTGGTTGGGGTGTTTTAGATAATATTCATGTAAATAGTTTTCATAATAAGGTCATTAACTGTCCAAAAATTTAATTATTTAGGGGTAAAATGGTAATATGTATTGTGAGAGCATTTTTGTCCAAAAAGTTAATTTATGAGGTTACAGAAGTCATTTTACATAGTTGGGCTAATTCTTATTTGATATATATGAGAGCATTTGTGTCCGAAATTGTTATTAATTAAGAATAAAGTGGGATCAGAATTTAGAGTATCCCAGTAATCAAAGAATAACAAGATAATTTGATTACCTCCTATATCACCTACAGTAAATATTATTGGTTTTGCAAAATACCGAAATCTTTTATCACTTGACAAGCAAACAAGGGAAAGTTCAAAATTAAAGATAGATTACCAAAGTTATCTTCCTAACAAAACGTATCCTTAGGGGTGGGGATGAACCCAACCATACCGACTTCAAATTTTATTGTTGTCATCATAATTTTGATTGAAACAAAAATGTCATATCATATAAACATTAAAGCGTAATATTATTATGTTACAAAACCAAAATAAATGGGCACTGATTCTAGGACTGTCAGTCGAGCCGAGTGGCTCGTGAGCCCGCTCAGCTCGACTCGGTTGGAGCTCGTCTGGAGCTCGATTCTACAATTATCGAGTCGACTCAGCTCGAACTTGGTTTATTAACTGAGTCGAGTTCGAACATAGTGAAGCTCCTAGTTCGGCTCGCGTATACATTGTGCACTTACGCAAGGTGCTTTGGTGATTTTTTAAACCATGAGGTATTAAACTGATATTTTTCAATGAAAAACTTTAAAAAATGACAGTTACCCCCCAAAGTGCAAAATCGTATAACACGAATACACTAAATCAATTTCAGTTTCCCACTTGTCCTAATTCCCAAATTGCAAACAAAGAACCCTAACCCGCGAACCAAACATGAATCCTCACCGTGAAATCAGTCATCTCCGTCACCATCTCCGATCTCGGCAACTAGAAAAAGAGTCACACAAAGACCAAATCGCGAAATCGCACCAGCCAGCAGCCCACTACCCACCACCGTGAAATCGATGGCCCAAAATCGCAGACATGTACCAGCCACCACCTTGAAACTGACAGCCACCACCGTGAAACTGCCAATAGATACGATAATATTTCTCTCTCTCTCTCTCTCTCTCTCTGTGGAGTTAACTCTTAAGTTTTTCACATGAAAAGAGCCTCAGACTTCTTCAAAATATTAACTGCAGTGCACAGAGTTTCTGTCTCGTACTTTGAATTTATTAGTCAAACATTTCTTACTCTCTCTCTCTCTCTCTCTCTCTCTCTCTGTGGAGTTAACTCTTAAGTTTTTCACATGAAAAGAGCCTCAGACTTCTTCAAAATATTAACTGCAGTGCACAGAGTTTCTGTCTCGTACTTTGAATTTATTAGTCAAACATTTCTTACTCTCTCTCTCTCTCTCTCTCTCTCTCTCTGTGGAGTTAACTCTTAAGTTTTTCACATGAAAAGAGCCTCAGACTTCTTCAAAATATTAACTGCAGTGCACAGAGTTTCTGTCTCGTACTTTGAATTTATTAGTCAAACATTTCTTACTCTCTTCCCCACTGTCCTGACAACCAACTTAAATTAATTACTGTACTCCATCCTCTAGGGACCCATTTCTTATTTCACCCTAATTTCTCTCTCAATATCTCTGCGAATGTCACCCATATTTTCTTCTGATTTTACCTTTCTTTACTGCTTTTTTAGCAAATTTTTATTCTTTTGTTTTTTAAATCCTAATCTTTAATGGAAAAAATTCAATCTTCACTCAGAAGTCAGAAGTCACCAGAAATGAAAGTGCTTGGCAGGAGTTACTGAATGGGGTTTCTGTGGTTGTAATGAATGTATGGTGAGATTGGTTGAGATGCTTCAAAGTTTGTCTCTTTTGTTCTTTTTGAAGCATACCCATTTGGACTTTGGTGTTTTTCTGTACTGCCATTGTGTTTAATTTGCTGCTTTTAAGGAAGGTAGAGAAGGAGCTTGAAGTTTGCAAAGTGGGATTTTGCTTTTGCGTTTAAGGGATTTTGGATGGGTTTTTACTTGATATGATTCTCTGTTCATAATATTTTTTTTTTGGTGGGTGAGCTCGAGCCTTGAGTTCGAATTCGAACTCGACACTGTAGTAAACGAGTCAAGTTCGATAAGCTAAAACTCGACTAAACTCGTTTACAGTCCTAAGTCTGTCTGATTCATTTTAGGGATATTATTGATCAAGGGATAACTCTTTTTAAATAAACTTAAAAATGACAAGAGTTTCAAATTACATAGAAAAGGGGCAAAACACGGTTAAAATGTATTAAATTTAATCTTTAGTAAAGTAAAAATGGTATTTAATAAATTAGTACTATTTAATAATTATAAAATTATAAAAATATTTTATAAAGTAAAAAAATGAAATTCGATTAAAAAAAAAAACCCATTTGCAAGGAAAGGGTTAATTTTGAGCAAGAGAAAAGTGGCGGGAACGAAGCTTTTCCCCTTTAGCGTCCAATAAGTTTGATGATTTGTCACCAAGTAAAGACTAGAAAAATACTATTTTTATGAAGGCAATACAAAAAAGGTTATAAAGTGACATAACAGAAATAAAAAAATAAAGAAAAAACGAAAAAAAAAAGGAAAAGAGAGAAGTCATAAAAATAAAGGATGTGAATTGTCTTTGTATACCCTCTTCTTTATTTTTATCTTTGTAAGATTAGTATTACTCTAAAGACATGACACTTAGCCTCCACTCTCCCACAAGGCTCTCGGCTTACTATATGATAAAATTGATGACATCCCTTTATTTTAATATGATAATAAATTTTTTTTACAGACACGTACCTTATAACGCTTTAGGATTTAGGAGTTAAAGCCTTTGTTTAAAAGAGGACACACATGTAACATTGTATATATTATTGGAAGCAAATCCTACAGGTACATTCTCTAACATTATCCATGATATAGGGTGGACTCCCCTTCATAGAGACCCATTTGCGTTTGATCTCCGTTTACCTAAATTACATACACCCAATAATAAAAGAAAAAACAATAATAATAGTAACCCAATGTTACAGGGCAGCTAAACAAACCTTAATAAATTCTAATAAATCATATGCAGGGAGGCGCATAATCCTTATCCTATGCCACCTCATTTTTTTAATCATCCTGATTGGTCAATTACAAACTTTGCTGCTCTTCATCAACGGTGCATGAAACTCTACGTTCTTCCTGTCATGGGACCCGACACACGCAATACTATTCTCTTCACGACCCCGCTTCCTTCCATCATCTTTCAACCAAACCCCAAATAGCTTCAACTTTCCACAACTTTCTTCATCCTCATCACAATCATCACTTACTAATCCATCTTTGGTGGACCCACAGCTTCCTTGCCGCATGATGCTATTGATCTTATCAGGCTCCACCTTAAAACATTTGGTCAAAAACGCTATCAACTCGTCGCACTGCTTCTTCGCCTGCGCCAGTTCCGTGCTCAGCGTCTCGTTGTCCTTTCTCAGTTTCGCATTCTCATCCGTAAGATCTGCAAACTTCGCGGTATCAATCGATCCCGGGCTCTTCGAATCCGGAGATGACGTCGAGGTCGACCCCAGGTCCTCGCCAGAATTTGACGCCGAGTTTGTCTTCGCACCAGCTCCTTTTGCCGCCGTTTGTGTTGCTGATGGTGGAACCGTTTTTCGGCGGTGAATTTCGGTTAACAGCTCTTTCTGCCCTCGCCGGAAATTATCGTTGGCGAATTCCCATTTGTCCACAACAATCTTTCGAAATCCCTATAATTTAATGTTGAAATGATCATTCAATCGGTAAAATCGAAAATTTACTGTTTGACGAACTGTTCATGAATTTATTTTTCTTGCCACGTGCAACTACATGGTCTGTCAAAAAATAAATCGGCGCCGAAGTTTGACTTCTAAACAAACGCGCAGGTTGGGAATATGACAATATATCAATAATGGTTCATCTAACTATCAAATGATTAAATAATATATCGTTAAATTAGAAAAAAAAAAAAAAAAATGTTGGTTGATATTTTCAATTAAAGTTGATTACGTTTAATGAAAGGCTAATAAAATGGTGAATGAATTGAATATGGATAAGAGCTGTATGGCGGAAACCGTTTTAGGAAAAAGAATGGAGAGGAAGCGAGGAACATTGAGATTCCATGTTTGATTAAGCAAGAGAGACGCAGGGGAATTTAGAATTATACGGGATAGGATTTTATTCCTGAGAAACAAATTAAATTACTATTGTACCCCTCACCTAAAATTTGACCATGAGGTTCTAGTCTAAAACACAAAATAAAAAATAATAAAAGTGCTTTACGGTGTCGTATAATCGTATGTAAACAAATAGACTACTACACTTCACTACAGTGCAAGAAAAGTAATACTAATTTTACACAAAAATCAAAGAAAAGTATTAAAATATTGGTGATTATTAACACGCAATCAATCTGATCATTCATGCCGTATTCATTGAAAAATTGATCTCTAATTTACACGCCTTCACCTACCCCATCACTGATTCAAACCTTTCAGTTACAGGAGGTGCGTGTGAAGTTGGTAATTTGATTTTGATTGGTATTTAATAAAATTCAGTGATAGCTTCTGGATCTTATTTAACATTTAAGAAAATATTTCAAATCTCTTATAAAAAATGAAAATTCTATATAAAATCATATTGATTTGGCTGCCAAGAAATAAACAAAATTGAAATAAAGAAATAAATTAAAATCTATAGGATTTTCAACATCAAACATATTGTCAAACATGGTATTAGCAACCAAATTATGATAAATTTAAGTTAATTGATTCAAGAAATGAAACTTACTGGTAAGATAAGAAGAAGATGAAGGGTAGATTAAACTTACATAGGTGTTGAGTTGGCGAACAAAGCTAGAGAAATTGTTGTGCTTGAAGTAATTAGGAAGCAAATCCTTCGCAAAATCAGCAGTTTTCCAAACAACAAAGGTGGTGCCATTCTCATTCCATGAAATCACATCATCTGTTCTGGGATCATCCACCAACTGATACGTCTTCATCAGAAACGGTGCCGGAACTGACCTCTGCGCCATATTTTTTTATCCCCAATTTACCCTTCACCAACCCCCAAGATCAAGCTAAAAGTGAAACCTAAAAAAACAGTTTTCAACTAAAAAAAAAAAAAAATTAAATGAAAAATAACCTACAGAGTACTTTGTTTAGATGGAAGAAGAACTAAAGAGCAAGAGAGCAGTCAAGAATTCCCAGCCCCAACAATAGAACCCAGAAAGGAAAATCCTAGAATGAACAAGATTAGTAAAGCGTTTGCTCCTATCTGCTTCCATGAGCAATCACCGGAACAAGTTTTTCTGATGAGATTGGTTTATACAAGGCCAAGACCATAACTTCTCATGAAAGATGAAAGTGGTATGCTCTTTTGTTAATACTTGTACGAGACAATTATAAAAGGAGGAGGGGAAAGAGTCTCGTTAGAAAGCGACGTTGGTTCTAGAAATTTTGAGAAACACAACAAAAATAATTAAAAACAAAGAAAGAAACAACGACAACCCCACTTTAGTCTTGTTTCAAGTCTCAAAGGTAAAGATGGAGATAAGAAAAAAGAAAGAGAGGTGGGAATTGGGAATTTCATTTTGTTATTATTTTTAATGGAAAAATGGTGGCAGTTTTTCTTGGTCGTTTCTTGAAGGAAGCTTCTATTATATTTCCAAAAAGATATTTTTTTAATATAAGACGCGTGGGATTCACCGTTTTTACATTTTTCTAAAGGCTATAGAAATATAAGGAAGCTGGTAAGGTGAGGAGGAGGGAGGCTAATCCTTTTCTCTTTGATTTCTCACCTAACACTTCCCAATACTAATTGCTTCTTTTCATCGCTATTAATTATTGCTTTATTCTCCTTTGATCTTATCTGCAGTCCATATTACCTTTTTTTTTTTTTTTTTTTTTAAATTGCGGCAGTCAAATGTGCTTCTTTTTCTGTTAACATAAACTACTGTTTCTGTTCTGTAATTGGAAATTAACATTCAATAGTAAATACATTCCCTTAATAATTAATTCTACTACTGTTTCTTTTCATGTGTTCTGGGAAGATGAGGTGGTTGTGTGGTTTAAAGAACGTTAATTAACGATCAGATATCAAATATTGTCAATTTTGTTAATAATGGAATATTTGTATTGTCATTTTTTTAAATTCGAAGGTATCGGGATAACTTACACACCTCAACTAATCTTTTGGATCAAAACTATCATCGGTAAAAGTTCTAATGATTATCCTATTAACATCTGAAGAGAGATTCAGATCATGATCTCTGAGTAATCAACAAAAGTTCTATATAAACATTGATAACTTAAAGGTATAAATAATAAAGAACTTCTTTTTTAGATAATTACTATATTATAACTTTATTTATCCGGCCGGATTCTACTATCAATAATAGAGCTTCTTTTTTATTTCATTTTTATCTCAATTTAGATAAAAAAAAAAAAAAAAATCTTTTACCCATACTTACATATTTAAATTTTGGGTAACTGGAGCCAACCTGAGTTAATAAAGCAACCGAGGATTAAAGGTTTGGAAATTAGGCCTTTTAACATGCACAAATAAATTCATTTACTCAAATATTCTACACATTTCGTCTTCTATTAACACATAATTACTATGAAGACTAAACGTGTGTTTTTTCTCTTTTAAACTTAAATTAATTAGAATTAGAGTTTTGATTGTTTATCTTTTTCAAATTGTACTATTTTCAGAACTTCTCACTGAATATGAAAAGTAAAATTCTAACTTAATTCAAAATCTAATTACTTTTTAACATAACATAAATTTAGTTACCTAAAATATCCCTATAGAATATAAATTTAAATTTAAATAATACTAAAAGGAGACTTTTAATTATTTAATTTAAAATATTTTAAAACTAAAGTACCTATTATAATTATGCAATATCTATATTTTTTGGTAAGAAATGCGGTACCAGTACTTTCATATAGTTATTAACTTATTACCGCATTAGTTTATTATTTGATTTTATTATAATTACAATTTTTTTCAATAATATGAGGTGTTGTCTGCACATGCAATATAACAAAATAATATGCATACATTTTATTTTATTATAATCATAATTATTTTTTAATGATAATTAGTTTAGAGTATTAAACAATTAAAATATAAATATTGTATAATTTTTATTAAGCATGAGAAAAGCCAAATTAAAAAATCTGCCCCAAGACTCAGTTTTTTACAGTCGCTCTGATACGTGACATTAACTAGAAGAGATTTACAAGTTATAATATTTTTCTTATAGTTAATGTGTCACTGATCAATAATTACATTAATTTAAATATTAAGTTAGTATCACCATTACACAGTGTAATCTTTCTGAAGAAATAAAAAATAAATAAATAACCTATTTTAGTAAGTAAATTTATTACGTTTCAACAAAATTGAATTCTTTTACTTATTATTATGTGTTATATCATATGTGGAGGAATACTTGTTCAAAATATTACTTAAGGAATCTGAATTCAAAGTTTTTTTGATTACTAAAATGGTAGTTATTAAATTTTTATCTTATGATAATTTCAGAACCTAAAAATTAATTGAGGTATATAAAAGACTAATACATCCAATCATAAATAATATATTATTATGTGAAAGTTAATGTCATGTCTTTACTATTATATCCTCAAAGAAACGTGTTAAAACTCCTTCTTCAGATAAAGGCGCAGATTTTCGTAGATCATTTATCTAACTGTCTGGTTTCCCACTTCAATCTCTCATATCCCTCAGGTTATAATTTAGGTGAATTTTCGAATAAAGGTGTGTCTAATCTATCAAATCCTAAAGAAAGTCACCGTGCAGCTATTTTCAAAGAGTAATACTAACTTATAAAGAGTATACAAGAATCATATAAGAGTCAAATCCAACCCTTGAAAGAAGGAAAAAAATAGAAAGAAAGAGACAATCTAAATTTTAACGATTAAATTTGATTTTTTATATACCTTTTATAAAGTAGTATTACTCATTATGGCTTCACTTATCACTCCTGCAGCTAGATCACTAATCACTAATCACTTGAGTTGTAGCTTTTCAATAATGTTCCTTTCTGAAATTACAGCCTATTTACAAAGAGTATACTACATTACACCACTAATTACATCATTTTTATTACATATACTATTTACAATAATATTTTATATATATTAAAAATTTAAAATATTAAATTGTAGAATGTGAGATATATCACATCATGATGTATGAAATAGTGTAATGAGTGGTGTAAATGTAACATTACTCTTTTACAAAAGTTTAAATCAAACTTTTGAGGGGCGTAAAGAAAGAGTTCAGTTAATAATAGTGAATGCATTACAGCTGGGCCTGGATTCTCTCCTCATTCACATTTAAACTGCTTTCATTAGTTTTCCAGTTTCATCCACATAATTATTAATTAATATAATGTTGTTGGTTCGTAATGTGGACGATGGCTTATCGTGATAGCACAAATGTTGGCATTTATCACCAATTTTCTGACTTTTTGTTCCATCTCCACCGAAGTCTGACTATTGTGTGTATGAGAATGTTTTACTTTAAAATCCTAGAGCTGAAGCTTGGAATTTTGGGTCCTTGAAATGCCGAATAAAACATGTATAGAACTAAAAATATGGTGGAAATTTTTAAGATTGAAGGAATCGCCTGACTTCATGGGAATTGGAAGTTGTCCTTACGTCTTTGATTAAATTTTCTAATTATATGATTGATTCAAACTCAACTATGGATGGGACTACAATATAAATATTCCAACAATATTTTCTTTAATTTCAAACAAACCCTTTATACTTGTTTATTATCTATAACTCCTGACTAAACTATAGGAGTAATATTATCCTATAAGTGAGTTGTACAAATGAATCATACAAACAGGTAAAAAAAAAGAAAAAAAAAGTAATTATTTACATAAATTTTGTATAATTTTGTTTATTTGATAATTAAGTTGTAAAAAATATATTATAATTATAATTATCGGGAATTTTTTTTTTTTTTTTTTGTCTGCATAATGTAAACAACAATTCAAAACAATCCCAGCAAATTGATTCGTGAGGCCGCCGTGATTTCATCACATGTAACATGCGACTAGGAGAAAAGCAATGCAATATAAAATATGTAATGTGTTTAGTTATTTATCTGGTTAAGATTTTATTGTCTATTTGCCTTCTCTTAGTGACTCTATTTAGGATTATATTTCATCACATGAAATACTTATTTAACATCCAACTGAACATCTTCAATTTTTTCTTCTTCTTATAATCGGGATATCTGAACCAGTTTATACATACTTTAAATAATTCTTTAAAATCTTAAAACTACTGATAGGATAAAAATTCAAATTATTATCCCTATTAATACTTGAAGAACATTATTAAATTTGATTTTTCACTCTGTTATTAGAAAACTTGTGTGATTTCTAAGAATAAATGAATATCGACAAATATAATACAATAATGTCAAACTGATTCTATCAAGTATTAAGTAAGATGAGTAGTCTTATTAATTAAAAACCAAATAGATTGATATTTAATGGGGCTATATTTTGACAAAACTTATTGACTTTGAACAAGGAACAGTTGAACACCATTTACGTTACACCTAATTCTGACATTTTTTTTAGCAAATAATAATAATTCGTAAAACATGCAAATTAAGAGTGCCACTTTTGGGTTACGTAATAAACAGTGTTTCATTTCAGTCATCTTCAAAGTTTGATTATATAAATAATAAATATAAGGACGGTCACGCGTGGATCAGTTCAAAGCGTGAATTATAAATTTATAATTCAATTTTCCATAGTCAATGGTTGTTTTAATTAACAAGCCTTTCTCATTGCTTTCACATTCTTGTTCGGCTCTCTTATTAATAATAATACTATCAACTTACTTAAAGTCTTTTCTTTTCTTTTTTATTTTTAATGATCAATTATAAACTCTTTTAATCCTCCAAGACTTTGAAATTGACGATCAAGTAAGCCCCTCAATGACTACTCATATTAGAGCCTATAAAGACTTGAATTCATGAATTCATGAAATCTCTTTTTGCTTTTTTATCATCAGTTCACCTAATGATGGTTATCAATTATAAACTCGATTTGTGATCAGATGAAAACTTTAGAATTTATAATCTATTTAGGTTATTATCATTATTTTTTTAAGAACAGCTTGATATATATATATATATATTTTTTTTTTTTTTTGAAGATGCGGATAATTTCAAATTAGAAAAAATTTGAAGTGTTGTTGGGACAAATATTTGATAAATATGTATTTAGAAAATGCTTCTACTCCAAACTGTTTATGTGAAATACTTTGTGTATATAATTAATGAATGATGTAAGTAGGAATGATCTCATTAATTCTTTTCGTTACCTCGTACTTTATATAAGTAAACATGTAATTCCTCTTTAAATAGTATTCCAAGAATTGTATGATATATTGATTATTGAATCAAACTTGACAACAATATTATTAATTATAGA